AGCTATGTGCCACTAGGACAAATTCAAATATCTCTTTTTATCTGTTACAATAGGCACAGAAAATGCATCTTGATGCATCTTTCAAACAAACAAGTGATAAGCCATAGTCTACAAAGGACCATTGCATCTCTCTGCATTAGAGAGAGATTAATGTTAACGTATAGCTTGAGCAACACCAAGTGATGGTTGTTTTTTAACTGTGATTCAAAGGGCACTATTCTGTCTTTACACTTGCTCCATCTGCTGTCCACATTCTGCAAAACTCCTTTCCCAGTTCTCAATCTTTTTCACAGCAGCTGTGATTGAGACATTTCTTTTATAAAATGAGTATATCTCATGGTCTGCTAATTTTCTTTACTACTCCCATCCTCCAACTCCTTCTCTGTTATCTTCTACATTAATTCCTCAAACTTTCTTCTCCACTTTTCCTGCTCTCGGTTTCTTTGTGAACTTGATTGGAGACTGCTATAAGCTTTCGTCTAATTGTCTGTAAGTTTTCTCCTCTATTTCAGCACCCTGAACTGAACCCTGCATGATTCCAAAGATTTGCGTTCTCACCTGAGTTTCCAAGTTGTTCTCGTATTTTGGCCACTTACTCCCAATGTATGTCTGCATAGCAGTTGTTTTAATTACAAAATCCAACTCCAGAATAATCAACTTAGTCTCGTGGAAGTCAGAAGATGTGCACAAAATCATAAGGGAGTTTTTGATAGGGAACAAAAGAAAACATATTTAAACTGGTCTATTTGTCAGTAACAGTAGAGAATAAAATACCAAAACTAAGGTGACATTAGGGAAAGTCTGTCATACTGTATGTATTTGGGCTTATCAAATGGTTTGCCCAAATGAAAACAGTAATAGAAGCATCATTTCTGATACAGTTGTTATTAAAAGAGATTTGCACAAATAATTGATCACAGAAACACAGAAGGATTACAGCAGGAGGCCATTCAGTCCACTGTGTCTGAGCTGGCTTTTCAAATGAGCAATGCATCCAGTGTCACTGCCACACCTTCTTCTCATAGTCTTGCACATTCTTCCTTTTTAGGTGATGATCCAATTCCTTCTCAAATACTGCAATCGAACCTGCATCCACCATATTCTCTGGCAGGCCATTCCATATTCTAACAACTCGCAGTTTGACAAAGTTTCTCCCCATGTCACGGGTGCTAAATTTGTTCATTATTTCAAATCTGCTCTCTCTCATTCTTGACCCTTCCACCAGCCGAAACAATTTCTCACTATTGATTCGATCCAGACTACTTATGATTTTGAATACCTATAACAAATCGCCTGTCAACATTCTCCAAGTAAAACAAGCCCAACTTTTCCAGTCTATCTACTAAAATGAAATGCCGCATCCATGAAACCATTCTTGTGAATCTTTTCTGTATCCTATCCAAAGCTTTCACATCCCTGGAATGGAATATTCCCTTTCATTCTAGGTTTTTATTCTTCTTTTGCCTCTCCCAGCAAATCCCATAATAGCAGGGATAGGGAGGGTGCATGAAGGAAATGTTTCATCATGATATTCTTCAGCTGTTGTGTAGGCAGACTCAGTGGACCAGCTAGTCTTTCATTCTTGTCAATTTTAATCGTTCATACATAATGGAACCAGGTGGATAAATCTTTCAGAGAGCCAACAATGGACAATGTGCCGAAGCAGTGTCGACTGTGCATAGCATTCTATAATTCTGCAGTTCTACAATGCATTTTTTATCAGGAAAATGCATTATCATTGTACCGAGATAGAATACTTCTTGTCTTATACTTGTCTTGCTGTTTGTGAATGAATCAAATATGGGTAAGAATGAAAAAATTGACAAATAGAGTTGAATTGCAATTATAAAGTTATTCACATAATTTTAGAACTTCAGAGACAAGGATAACACATTAGTATAAATTATATAGGTGTACATTAGGTCTTGTAAAAGGTACAGAATTTCAGTAGAGTATTTGATCATAGAATCCCTTCAGTGTGGAAACAGGCCCTTTGGCCCAACAAGTCCATACCAACCCTCAGGGCATCCCACCCAGACCCATCCCCTTACAACCTACCTAAGCTATACATCCCTGAACACTATGGGCAATTTAGCATGGCCAATTCACCTAGCCTGCACATCTTTGGACTGTGTGAGGAAACCAGAGCACCCAGAGGAAACCCACACAGACACAGTGAGAATGTGCAAACTCCACACAGACAGTCACCCAAAGGTGGAACCCGGATCCCTAGCACTGTGAGGCAGCAGTGCTAGCCACTGAGCTTTTACTTCCAGCTGTGATCAGTTAATCACAAATTGCACAGGTAGAGGGAACAACTGGAGTGGTATTCGATTCAAACTGATTGGTGGAATGATAGGCAGCATGAGGGGATGGTAATCAACATTGTCAAAGTCAGAGGTTAGGTAGCTGGAAAAATGGGAGTGATCATCAGCTGAATGAACTTGCTTGCAGTGAAATAGACATGTGCGTTGTATTAACTGCAAGGATTTGAATAATTACACCTTGTTTCATGTAACTTCATTGTACACTGGCAAAGAGCTGCAAAACATTTGCTGTGATGTTAATAGCTTTATTGCAACTGTACTAAAAGGGCCTAGGAATCATCAAATGCAAAGTAGCATATGACATAAAATAATGCCAGGAAATTGTGATAGGATTCCTTATATTTAAAGGAACTTCAAGACTTTTGTTATAGGGCTGGATGATAACTGTGGTTAGATAATTGGGAGGGGTGTTATAAATCCATCCATTCAGCATTCTCTGCGTTTCACTCTCATCCATTTTTCTACTAGGTCATGTTTCTGCTTATGTTCTCTTTGTGCCCTCTCCCCAAACACAGATCTTCCCATTATTTCTGTGTTATCTCAGCAGCTCTGACAGTATCTGTGGAGAGAAATTTCAAAATCCAGTAACATTTCATCAGACCTGCTGAGTTTCTCCAGCAATTTCTGATTTTGTTTGTTTCAGATCTCCAGCATGTGCTTTGCATTATTCTCTCCCACCTCTGCTCATTTTAAATCAATGTGTATGCAGGGAAATGCTAAGCAACAGGTATCCATTTCGATGTCTAGGGTTTTACAGCAGAGTTGGCAGTAGTTTCACTGCAGAAATGACCACATCCTACGATGTAACATTCTCTGAGGCAATACATGGTTTAGGGTTTTACATGGGCCAGGGAATGCAGAATGTGATAATGTCTATAGAGCCAGTGGGTTTGGTTGAACAGTGAATCCCAGGGTCTGGCCATAACAAAGAGAGGTATCACCGTGGTGTAGCAAGTTGTGAACACTGCCAACTTCCCAGCTCCTGTAAGCTTCTGGTATTCTGACAGCAGAACTGGTGTGAAGGTCTGGAGGAGTCAGCGGTGAGCTTGAGAGGCCAAGTATCCATTTCCTTTCATGTCAGGAATTCTGGAGGTGTATATATTCCTCACAGCAGTGGCACAATAGAAAGCTATATATTTGCAAGGGCAGATTTGCAGTTTAAGAGGATGACAGACAGTCAGCTAATAGGCATCTAAACTGCCCAGCAAGAACCCTGTCTCCAATTCCTGAACTCTGCTGGAAAACACAACTAATTCAATCCCAACCTTTGTATGGGCATTGTTAACTTTTCAGTGATACTCTCAGATATGGGTGGCGCTTTTATCTCACAGAGCCAGGGAGGTTCAATTCCAGCCTCAGGTAACTGTCCGTGTGGATTTTGCACTTCCCCCTGTTTCTGTGGAATGTGCCTGTTTCCACCCTCAGTCCAAAGATGTGCAGGTTAGATTGACTGGTCATACTAAATTGCCCTATAATATGCAGGCTGTGTGTGGAAAGCAATGGTATATGCAGGGTTATAGGAATAGGGTAGGGGCTTGAGTCTGGGCTGGATTCTCTTCAGAGAGTCGGTGCAGTAACGATGGGCCGAATGGCCTCTTCCCGCACGGTAGAGATTCAATATTTTTACCACAGCGCACATCCTCAGGCCCTGTAAGATTCCACTTAATAGTTCCCATTTGTGTTGCCTTTCTATGACTCTAAGGTCGTTCGTGGTAGAGGGAAGATTTAACGATACAAATGCCCTGCTTATCTGTTTTCAGTGAAGTATTAAGAGCGTGTAATTCGTTTCGGAAAACAATGTGCAAATCCCCCCTTCCCCAATCCAAGGAGAACAAACAAAATAGAGACCCTCGGTTCAAAGTGTGTGACGGCCAGTTAAACGATCGCTTGGAAAGGATTCTCCCTATTTCTTCCAAGTTATTAACAACCTGCGTTCAAATCATATCAATGTTCATGCTTAAAGCTCGGTGTTTTGTATAACTTGTGAAGATAAATCTGGGTCGATAAAATATGGAGCTGGAGGAGCACAGCAACTCAGACAACAGGAACAGGAAAGCTGACGTTTCGGGTCTTTCTGAAGAAGGGTCTAGGCCCGAAATGTCAGCCTTCCTGCTCCTCTGATGCTGCTTGGCCTGCTGTGTTCATCCAGCTCTACACCTTGTTATCTCAGATTCTCCAGCATCGGCAGTTCCTACTATCTCTGGAGAAACTCACCAGGTTTGGCAGCATCTGTGAAGTTAGAAAACAGAGTTAACGTTTCGAGTCCAGTGATCCCTCTTCAGAAATTGACACTGGAAACGTTTTGCCTTCCTGTAGGATTTGTTTCACTGGTTTTAAATGAGTGTAGCAGTGTTTTATTTTCTCATAATAAGAACTGTGGCAGCAGCCCATGTTTCGTGGTCTCACCAGAGGGCGCTGAGATGACAAGAATGAAAGGGTAATTTCCATCAGCTCCCGGGAAGAAATGGACACATTGCTGTTACTTGATCGGATCCTTTTTCCTGTTGAGGGACAAAGACTTGGGAACAAAGTCGCCGGAGCCCGAGCAATCCCCCTCCCAGTGACGTAACCGGCAGCCAATCAGCGCGGGCCTCAGCACGTCATCTTGTCGGTTTCACCAATCCGATCGCGTTTATTTCACTCCGCTACAAAGTTGCGCCAAATTCAAAAACAAGAAAGGGACAGACGGGCAGAGACAGTCAGGCGTTCGCTCCCAACCACGGAGGTCGCAATGCCAACCTGGAGAAAGCACCATCAGATCCTACAGGAAGAAGGCGATAGTCCGCCAACCGATCTGTTCAGGGAGATGTCCTCGTCCAGCTCCCTCAACACTATCCGCATGTCCCTGAGGAAGAGGCTGCCTCTTGGGCAGGTGGACTTTAACGTCGACCACACCCCGAGTTGGGAGAGTCTGGAGCTCACCAAGAAACCTAATGCTTTACAAACTATAGGTCGGACTGCGAGGAACACATGGGGCAACGTCTCCCTGGTAACTTGTCTTTACTTACATTTGACACCATGGAGTGTAGCAATGCCATTATTCCATTTAAAACGCCAAGGTTTCGAAAACTGACGTTGCTTAAGAAAGATATGGACTCCAGTTTTATTTTAGTAGCAAAGTGTAAAAGTAATTTGGAAGCCAGCAGTACTGCCGGCACGACTATTCAGCTGGCAAACATTTCGCAGATAACGTAATGTGTGCCTGACGGTGGTAGACTGTAGTATAACTGTACGATAAATATACATGACTGGTTCAACTGAAATGAGCTGATGTGGCAATTGGCTGCGTTCCTTACATTGCAGACAGTGTCACGTTGATTTTTGCTCACTTCTCCATAATGTCCTGATCAATAACTTATCTCCAAGCCAATATCGCTTAAACAAATGATATGGTTTATACTTCATTGCTGTTTGTGAGATCCCTGTAATCTTGGGGTCACTCTAAACTCTACAGGCCCATGTTTTAACTTGGATCAAGTCCTGTTGTTGACCTACACTGACTCACAGTGAAGCAGCTGCTGGATTTTAGAATTCACATCATTGTTTTGTTTTCAAATTCTTGTCTCTCCTTATTGCTGTAATCTCGTTCAGCCCCATAACCCTCAAATATCTGTACTCTGCTAATTCTGGCATCTTGACTGTCCACTGTTGGCGGCTGTGCCTTCAAGTAAGCTCCCTGAACCTTTCTGCCTTTCTACATCTCTGTCCTCTTTTTAAAATACCTTAAAACTTACACCTTTGTTTGTTTTTCCCCATTTGCTTTAATATATGGATCGGTGTTAGCTTTAGGAGCTTGCTGTTAGCAAACCGCTTCCTTGACATCCTGCAACAACTTCATTGCTTCTGAGAGATAGTAAGAACTGCCGATGCTGGAGTCATAGATAACAAGTGTGGAGCTGGAGGAACACAGGCCAGGCAGCATCAGTGGAGCGGGAAAGCTGATGTTTCAGGTCGGGACCCTTCTTCAGAAAATGGGGGTGGGGGAGGGGGCTCTGAGATAAATAGAGAGGGGGGGTGCTGGGGAAGGTAGGTGGGAGGGGGAAGGAGCTCTGAAATAAATAGAGAGGAGGGGGTTCTGGGGAAGGTAGGTGGGATGGTGATAGGTGAGTGCAGGTAGGCAGTGATGGGGATTGGTCAGTGAGGTGGGAGGGGCAGATAGGTGGGAGAGAAGACAGACAGGCCGAGGAGGCGGGGATGAGATGGGCTGGGGAAGATAGGTGGGATGGCGATCGGTGAGTGCAGTAGTGGGGAATAGTCAGTGACATGTCAGATGCTCAGAGACCGCTTTGTAGAGCACCTGTGCTCCGTTTGCAACAAACAACAACACCTTCCAGTTGCGAACCATTTCAACTCCCACTTCCCACTCCCCACTCCCTGGGTGACATGTCCATCCTGGGTCTCCTTCAATGCCACAACGATGCCACCCAGAAACTGAAGGAGCAGCACCTCATATTCCGCCTTGGGAGCCTACAACCCAATAGTCTCAATGTGGGCTTTACTAGCTTCAAAATCTCCCAACTGCCGGCCTCATCCCAAGACCAACCCTCCGTCTCATCACCGCCTCCTTGACCTGTCCGTCTTCTCTCTCACCTATCCGCCCCTCCCACCTCACTGACCAATCCCCACCACTGTCTACCTGCACTCACCTGAATCACTGGAGGAAAGACTGAAAGATTTGGCTGTTCCTTTAGGAGAATCTGCAAGGAAGGCTTTGCTGTTGCAAATGTTCTGTTAAGAGTGGCTGAGTGTAAGTAAAAAGGCTGAGGGTTAATATCTGCTGAAGTCAACATACCCATGAAGGGAGAACAATCCTGATATTAGGTGAAGGGAGCCAATACTATTCAGTGACTGCTAGTTTGTGTCATTTCCATTTTGTTTTGAATTTCCATGAACATGCAATTAATTATCTCTCAAAATCCAACATCTTTTATGTATAAACCAACCATGGTAGAAAATGGTAAAAGGTTGTCATGGTGGTGGTATTTCTAGGCTGCTGGGATAAGATTCTGCTAGCAGGCAAGTCAGTTTAACTTCAGTATTAGGAAGATGTTGAAGTGATAATCTGGAATAACACTAACTGTCACTTGGACAAATGTGGATTAATGCAGGAAAACCAACACAGGCTGTTTTCTTTTAATCAAGTCAGTTTTTGATTTATTCAGTTTTCTTTTGGTAATTAATGAAAGAGTTTCAAAGCCTGTACTTTTTATCTTTGAGATTTGTTTCTAGCTGAAACAGACTGTCCAAAACAATATCTCTGGGAGGACTTTCTTTCTTAGATTTCTTGGCTGTGACATCTAAGTTCTGACAGACATCTAGATTACTAGGGAAATGGAAACTAATTGGAAGATCAGACTTTGGTGTGCATTGTCAGAACAGATGGGGATTTTGTTGAAGCTGTGTGAGTGAGGCACCTGAAAGCAATGAAACGTAAGTAAAACCGTGTGAGCTGTCCAAGCATACTGAAGAGCTGGCTGGATTTTACCAGGACTGAGCACATACTGTTCACAAGCAGGTAGATGAAAGTATTATGGAGCAGGTCAAAACCCCTCAATACATATTAAGAAGATAGCCCAGACCCTAACCTTTTCTTAATTAAAGGCAAGTTCGAGGCGTCGTGTTCAGGATGCAGTTCACCTGTTGAACCAACCAGTCTTGAAGCAAACCACATTTTATTCATACACTGTGGTTAAAATGCAACAAAAGAAAGAAGAAATTGGAATAACTTAACTCTATTATTCTGTTAAGTTTTCCAATAGATTATTTTACTACTAAACAATAACTGTTCCAATATAGGAACATCCCGTAAACACACCCTTGGCAATGCTAAAGTCAATAAATTGTCTCACATGCAATTCTAGCAGCTCAGGAGAAAACTGAGGGAGAAACGTACTGCAGCTTCCACGTACAGCTTCAAAGCCCTCAGCAACAACTGCTGAAAGCTAAAACTACAAATCCCTGATTCTGTGGGAACTTGACCCCACCCATTCAGGTTGCTTTTATTGTTCCAATATCTTTATATTAAAAAAAACCCATGTCTCCTAAGTTATTTATTTTATTGGATCCAAATAGACTGCTCATCACAACTGTCTTAAAACTTCTCTTCCAAAAAAAAGGACAAAATACACCCTTAAAGCTGTAGTATGATTACAAAGGGGATTCTGGAAAGCTACATCACCAATGATATGATGAGTCAACTGAAAGAGGCTCCACAGAAGTGCCTTGGTGATAATTGCATCTGTAGATCTTGGATGGAATCAAGTGGTTATCAGAGGCCACTTAAAGATTAAGTACGGCATGACAATGAGTGGTTAGAACTCTACCTGATGTGGATAGTGCTGTGAGAGATATCTAGACTGTATGTGGTACCGCATATTTGACTGCCACCTGAAAGCTCTAAGATTTATCTTGTTTGTAACAGCTATTTAAAGTGTTCATAGTTTGTACTGAATCTGGGTTGCTTGTTTTGTTTTGATCTGATTTATTGCAGAAATGTTTCAGTTTTGAAAACTTTTACTTGTCTGGCAGTTTCTTCTGTTGTGATTATATAGGAAGTTTGATTATTTCATGTTATTGGTCTTCATGAGGATCATAACATGAGTCAAGAGGACTGATGAAGGTAATGGGGTTGATTGTTGTGTACATGGACTCCAAAAGGCATTTAATGAAGTTCCACATAACCAGTTTCCTAGCAGCATTGAAAGCTGTGGGATAAAAGGGACAGTGGGAGTGCTGATATGAAATTTGCTTTCTGTCATTTAGCTATGTGATCACTATACACCTTCCTGCTGTCTAAAGCACAACCATACGTGATATTCAAAGTCACTAGTAGGATTGCTAATTTTCTTTGATCTGTACTTGCGGCTTAGACTTGGGTGTGCAGCCCACAATTTCAGCATTTGCAGATGGCAAAAACTCAGAAGTCTCATGAACCCTGAGATGGGTAAAGATAGACTTTTGATAAGAGCAATGAAGAACGGGAATATAAAATAAAAGACACATGCAGGAACAAAGAGCTAAGAACATGTACGTGCAAATCATTTGAAGGTAACAGAGTAAATTGAGGAATTAGTTGAAAAGGATACTCGTTTCTCGATTTTCCTAAGTATAGGCATGGACTGCAAAAGCAAGGAACTTACTCTTAAACCCTTTATGAAACTGCAATTTAGCCTAAACTGAAGTGTTATCTCCAGTTACGGGCACCACCCTTCCTTCCAGAAGGATGTGAAGGCTTTACAGAATATGCAAAAGAGTTATAAGATTGTTCTCAAGGATGAGGGATTTGGGTTTTTTTTGGGAATGTTTGGAGAGAATGGGGTTTTCTCCTTGGAGAAGAGGGGATTTGAATGGAGATTTGATGGTGTTCAGACGTGTGAGGAATCTCGATGGAGAGAAACTTACTGTTTGTGGAAGGTTGAAGAACAAGATGACACTGGTTTAAAATGATTGATCGAAGAAGCCAAGGTAACATCAGAAATAACGTTTCTTCACGTCAAGTGATCTCAAACTGGAATGAGTGTAAGTGAGGGAGATTCAATCTTGCGTTTCTAAAGAAAGGCTTTCATAAGAATTCCCCTACAGTTCAAAAAATATACTGGCCTCCTACACTAATGATTGTTTCTTCTCTCTCCACCCCACCCCACCCCCGTAGAAACTGCAGAAAAGACGACAAAGTCGCAGTGAGTGCCTGGTCATCACTCCTTCAAAGCCTCAAACACCTCGGAGACGCAGCAAGGGATCGGCATCAAAGAAAGGCACTCCATCAAGATCCCATTACAGCAGGGAGGGGAGAACCAGTACCACACCATCTAGCATGAATCACACTCCCAAGTGGACTGAAGTTGCTCGGCTGCTCGAACAGGATGGGCTTCCTCTACGAAGATCAGTTAGGTCTGCTGCATTGAAGAGTCCCTATGCCTCACCTACTGGAATTAGTAGGAGAAGGTACAGAAACTATCATAGCATTTTGCCCAGGGCCAATTGTATAAGAGACTGACAACAGTGGGGAATATAGAAGATGACAAATAAAACACTGATACTCTGACTAAGCTGCATTGGTTTTTCAATGCTGGTTAACTGGAGGAAGTATTCAATTAGTTTTAAAGTCCACATTACAAAATTCTTAGATGAACCAAGTTTGGATCTAAAGGCTGTGAAACCCCAAAACCAACTTGGTCAAAGGATGAATTTATTAAGTGTTTGTCATGCAGGAGGCTAAATCAGTTGAAAATGGGACTGCTTTACACTGAATCTTGTGGTAGTGATGGTGTAAATAAAGTTTTGAATTAAGCTCATTTCATGCAGCCGAGAGGAATGCATAGTCTGCATTAGTCAAGGAGTCAATTTTGTTCGCAGGCAGACAAGATTAAATTGTGCCATGTAGGATATGGGTACGATTATCTCTCTTCTATTTGAACGACAGGAGAGCAGTTTATTGTTAATTTTTGCATTCTTGATTATTTGGGTGAATTGCTGTGGAAGTATAGCTGGCATTATTTATTTCCTACCCAATTGCCAGTAGCTTAACAGCCACAACAATGCTTCCATGTTATGAAGACCTACAGTATTTGATTCCGCTCTGACCCCTCTACACCAATCCTGACACAACCAGCTGCAGAGATGAGCATGTAATGTGGTTCAGCAATCCCCTGAGTAGGTGTGCTGTGATCTGTGTTAAATATGAATGCTGGTTTAAGTACTCAGCCCTGGAACTAATGAGCTGTGATTGTCAGCCAAAGGCTCTCCCAGTCTTGTAGCTGGTCAGTGTTTTGAATGGTACCCTGATAAACAGAAGGGCTGTGAGCAAGCTCCTGCTGATCGGATTGGCAAAAATCCTCCACTTATTGTTCCTAAAGAAGATTGGGGTCAGTGCATACATTGAGAATGAGCTGTAACTTGGGGATTCTTGCTTATCTGTTAGTGAATGATTACCAACAATGACAGGATTAGTGATTTTGTTTTTTGTAATGCCCCAATCAAGTGTCCATGAAGGTGTTTGTCCTTCAGGACTGTTAACTGAAATGTTGACTGCTAACTTCTTGGTTGTGGAGGGGAATACTTTGGATCACAAAAGCCACTCTAATCTTCTGAATAAAACCAGAAGAACTGCGGATGCTGGAGATCAAACAAAAACAGAAATTGTTGGAAAAGCTCAGCTCCCTGTGGAGAGAAATCACAGACAATGTTTCAGGTGCAGTGGACCCTTCCTCAGAACGCAACTTCTGATAATCTTCTGATTATCTGATTAAGACAACATTAGAATGTCTCAGTGCCATACAGCTAAATAAAATTAATTTAACAGAAGTATCATTTTTTTTAAAAAAAAGACACCACCTATAAAAACCTCGATTCTGAATAAAACCAGGGAAGCTTAATATCATAAATCAGAATATTTTCAAAGTTTTTAAAATGTCCTTTTGCTACAGAAAGAAATGGGAGGTGGCATCCAGAGTGATCAAACCAAATGACCATGAGCTGTGGGTGACCACTTTGGCCTGGCCCAGGAGCAGTCTCATATGCAGATCATGTGACTTAGCCTTCTACTGTGGGTCACCAAAGATCAGGTGACCAGGTCTCCAGTACTATTAGAAATTGAGGAGCACCCCCTTCAAAAGGATCTACTGGTGCTTTAGTCAATGTTTGAAATTAGTAAATAGCCAGCGCAGTGTCTCCCGCACTGGCGGTTATTATATGAGACTGTTGGTTTTACCTGAATAGTCACTTTGCAGCCCATTTCCTTGTAAAATGACGTGTAAGGCGATAATCACAAAAGATGGGAATCTCCTAAAGTGTGCATTTTCTTTTTCCTGAGGAATTTTACCTGGAGCTTTACAATATCCAGGAAAATTACGATGTGGCTCAAAATCACTTTTTTAGTTTAGACTAACAAGAAGAAAGTCTCACCCCCTTGCTGGGCTTTCTTCTTTTAGGGGTAGAGGGATCGTCTATTAATAGGATTTTGCAGACCTAATTTACTGGTACTAGAATCAACCGCTAGCTGAAGTTGAGGGAAGTTGGTTGAGAGTCCTGATTGTAATGGCTCCAAGTCAGGAACTACAGTTGTAAAATACACCCCAAGTACTCATTTGTGTTTGTTAACAGGCAGTTCGATCGTGATCTGGAATCGGTGTCTTTTGGAATTAGACAATTAAAGCGCCTGTCCCAGGTATTTGATGAAGCCATCACCAAGGAGGAAAGGTATTGTATGGTTAATGTAAATCTTTGTTTCAGTTCCCAGTGGGGGTCCAGAGACCCAGGTGATGTTCTGGAGTCCTGGGTTTGAATTTGAGTTATTAGGTACTGTAACGTGTCTACATTACACATCTATATAGTGACCACCTCAGTTTCAGAGGGCTGATGCATTTATCGTAGTACTGTATCCCAGAGATTCAGTCCCTGTGCTAAGTTAGAAGATCTATAGCAGGGTTACTGAGAAGGCAAGGTGGGAGTAAACAGGCAGACCTCTAGAATTTGTGTGTTTCCTCTGCATAACAGATTTAAACTGCTAACAAAATGGGATAATTCCTACATGAGTTTCCTTTGTTACTAAAGGTTCCAGGTGAGGGTCTCTAGCTTATACGATTCTGGAGAGTATATACGAGCCAGTCCGTTGGCTTGCCTGTGAGGCTGGTGAAAGGATGCACTTGGTTCCAGTGGCACTGACTTCAGCGTAGAGCAGTTTGTCTGAATACTCTTGTTTCTGCAGCTTAGCCAAAGGGAGTTGCCTTGTTTCCTTTTTGATGGTGGCTTTGCTGACTCAAGATGTGCTTCCAACAATCGCTGGGGTGCCCAGTGGATGTTCTTCAGCTAAAAGCTTCACAGCAAATGGCAGCCCAGTAGAATTAGAACACCAGAGCAGCACACTGATACCTGGGTTGCAGTTGGATTTTTGGAGAAAAGTACAAACATGGCTTTCACCCAGAATTGCTTGCCTTTTGGCAACTACGAGCAACTATGCATGTGTTCATTCGGGAATGCATGTGTGCACGGATCCAAACACTTTTTGTCATCATCACAGACTTCAAATGTGGTGTCATACACCAAATGCAGCAGTGCGCAGGAAGGGGGTGTGATTTTTTGAGCTGGGTTTCAGTTGGATGGAGAGGGGTTGCCGCACAGTGTGGCAGGGTGGGAGAGGGAGAGAAATCCCCTGGTGTGAGAAGGGAAGAGGCCACAGAAGCTGGGGAATGGAAGAGCAACAGGAAGGGCCCAGGACCCATGGAGAGGCCAAGGTGAGGGGGGATCAAGGAGGGCCCTCTTCCCCCTCTGTCCCTCTCTCTTCTGTGCTCCCCCTCCCCCACCGATCCTGAGTTCCCTCATTCCCTGCCTCCTCCCACAGTATCTGTGCACATAAAGTGGCATGTAGCGTGCATGCACTGGTGTCAATGCACACAGCTTCCTTTTGCCACACATCACGCCCAGTCTGGGGTATAACTCACTGCAGCATGTGTCTGATGAGATGGTAATCAGCCTCCAATGTTTCTGTGACCATGGGAGATTACATTTCAGTTTTGCATTGTGTCTCTTCCTTTTGAAGAGTCTCTGTCTGAATTTCCTCCTGATGCAATATTCCCATGCTGTCTCTCGGGATTGAGTATAATCCACACAGGAAACTTCCAGATGGACACTGAATTAAATTCTCAGAACTTACACTCCCAACCATCTTTGACTTTTGTATGTACTTTTTAAAAAAATTCTTAAAGAAAACAAAATTTCTACTTGTTCAGTATGTTCGTAAGTAATTTGGAATAATGATTCGTTGTCATGACCCCTTTTTCCAATGTGTGTAACTGAAGTTGAGTATGGAGATTACCCATAAACAACATTTCCAACTACTGCCGTCACTTTCATGTGTTTTGAAGCGTGTTAATTGAATGGAGCTGGATGGAATTCTATAACAGCCTTCAGCAATGATGTTTCTTTAATCTCAAAGTTACAAGTCAATTGTGCCATTAATCAAACTATTCTGAGGTAGGCCAAAGTTCAGTGTCATTTTTGAAACATTGAAAAGCTAGAAGAATATTATTTACTTGTATACCTTATTCAGAAGGTTCTGAGAAAGGGTCACCAGACCCGAGACATTAACTCTGATTTTTCTTCACTGGACACTGCCAGACCTGCTGAGCTTTTTCAGTAACTTCTGTTTTTGTTCCTGATTTACAGCATCCACAGTTCTTTCATTCTCTGTAGTTTGTCCTTTGGTTAAAAACTGTCTTGGACATGATGTACAAATCCAATCATGCACTCAATTCAAACAGCTTCATTCAGAAGTTGGTCCTTGATAGAATATTATTTTTGGAACAGAAACTTTATATAACTCTATTGGGAGTATTTAATCATTTGGCATCAGCCTTGGAATCAAGAAGCCTTCTGTCTCTATCATCTTTGTATTGGCTTTTTGAAAGAAGAAATAAAAAAAACAGGAAACCGTAGTTTTATGCAGCACTTTTCATGACTGCTGAGTGTCTCAAGGTGTTTCACAACCAACTCAATACTTGTTAAGATGTTGTCATGCTTGTAATATAAGGATCACGACAGTCAATTTGTACTGTTGACTGAAAGAGAAACTTTGGTTGGTACATCAGGGACATTTCCACTGTTCTTCTTCAAAATAGTGCCAGGGAATTTTTACCGTACATCCAAGCAGGGCCTAAGTTTAAAATCTCATGTGAATGATGGCATCGCTGACATTGCAGCACCCCCTCAGTGGAGTTTCAACTTTGACTTCTATTTTCCAGCTGAGGGATGTGAACAGAAACCTTGCCTCACAGAGTGCTGCCAACTGAGCCATAGCTGATATTTAATCTTGTTTTGTTCCCCCCATAGTCCTCCAATGTTTCATTTTCAACATCTGTACAAATCTGTTTTGAAAGCTGCTATGGAATTTAATTTCAGACAGTAAATGCCAGATGATACATTAAGATGAATTGAAATCTCCCCTCTGATTCTTTGCCAATTACCGCACCTTCTTTGAACATGTCTCAGATGTACATACCCTGTGGCTGTACACAGAAGATTGGAACTTTACAAAACAGGGCTAACTCTGGTTCAAACTCTTTGGATCTTTACTGGTCGACTTTGCCTGTGATTAGCTTCTGTATTTCCCCTGCTGGTGACATAAATGACTGTGTCTATGTGGTTGCCTGTTCCTGATGATCATCGGTAATTTCCGGCTTGAACGGTAGTCAAAATATGATATTTCAAAACTTGAGCATAGAAATAACTTGAGACTTAAATAATTTGAGTAAGCAATCTGTCTTAACTGAATTTTTGACATTGAAATATCTCTCTACATATCCCCAACCCCCACAGCCTCCCCCTCCTTTCCTGCTCCTGCTGCACCTTGTCAATCGATCTCCTATTTACTTGGATATGAAGAATGTTTGAGAGGTTCTGGGGGACCATGAACTACCTTTTTGACCTGTAACTCATTCTAGAGGAAGGAAGAGGATTATGCTGAATATAACGAATAATGTATCGTCTTCACCTATTATTTTTACTATGATATTGGTACTTTTGCCTATCTACAATGGCATAAGATTCCCAATGTAAGCCATGATACAACTGGTGTAACTCTTGCCCCTGATTCAGAGGTTTGAGGCTAAAAGAGCCAGTCTAGAGACTTGAATTTCGAGGCATTACAGAGCTGCAGGAGTAGTGCACTTGTCGACAATGGCACCATTGGGATGACTCATTAAATTGGGGCTCAGGCTGCTCATGCAGATGACTGTAAAAGATCCCATGGTCTTCTTTTGAAGAAGAGTGGAGGGGCGCTACCTCCTGTATTAGTCTTGACCAATATTTTTGCCTCAACAAGACAGATAATCTGGTGAGTATTGTGTTACTGTTTGTGGGAGCTCACGACATGTTCGGGTTAGCAGCCATATTCGCCACATGTCAACAGAAGCTACAATTCCAGAAGTCAGTCATTGGTTGAAAAGTTCTGAGATTGCGTAAGTTGTCTTTACATTTTATCCAGTACACGAGTTCCTTTTGACTCAGTCGTAACTATTTGTAAATGTATGAGTCAGCCTTGAAAGCCCCTACAGGGGCCTTGTAAAATGTTTTTGCTTAAAACGGAAGTTTGAATTTCCTGTCTCTTGACTGCAGTGATTTAATAAAATGAGAACTCTCTGTCATGGGGTTTCTGTTCTGCTCGCAAAATCAGTTTGCATTAGATTTGAAAAAAATTGATTTGAAAGAATTGGATTTTATTTTTGTTGGTTTACACTCCCGCATGTATCAGAAAATCTAATGAATGCAGGGACTGAGGGAAAAGAAATACGACTTTTAGCAGCTTCAGTTTTCAGACTCGTGACCATTAATGGTCTTCCAGTTCTCGGGATTGCCCTATTCTAATAGATGCATTGAATAAAGATATCTTGTCTTTCCACAGCAAGGTGAGGTAGAGACAAGTAAAAAGTGTATCAGAGCAGGATTCTGTGAGGAGAGTACAGAAGGAGAGCACAGATGACAGGAAGCAAATTGACTGAGAATGTGCCTGTTTCAATAAAAGTAAATAATTCTTTGTGCTTTTGTTCTTAAATTTTTTTAAAAAAAAAGCACAATTGTTTGTTCAGAGTTGTTAATTCTATATTGGTAGAATTTTCCACCATTTGATTTCCTCCACTATGTCTTATCTGATCTTGACTAATCAAATGAAGTTGTCCGTCCAGTGGATTGTGGGAAGAATGATTCTAAGTGCAGGCTGGGAGATAGTCTCCTGACTTCTCACTTCTTCAGATACCATCTTGTATTTGATTGGTCCAATACAATTTGTCACTTTTTTAGCTGAAATTTTCAAATTCATAAATCTGATGCAGTTATGTTGTGAACTTTATCTGCAGCGTACTGACACTTTGGAAATGCTTTAAGCTGGCAATTAGCATTGAATGGGTCAGGGAAATTGATAAATGGGTGGATGAGAAATGGAATTGATTGGAGGAGAATGCGTGGGCATTGGAGTGTGCTAGAACAAGTTACTGTGGACCAAGAATGAGGCCCATCAGATCAGGATCTAAGAGTGGGCCTGAAACTAACCTTGGATTTCAAAATAAAACAAAGAATTACATACTGGAAATCTGAAACAAAAACAAACTGCTAGAAAACTCATCAGGTCTGGCAACATCTGTGGAGGAAAAATAGAGTTAACATTTCGATTTCAGTGATCCTGAAATGTTAACTCTGTTTCTCTCTCT